TCAAAACTATTTTCTGTGTCTCTGTGGCTGGATGTCTTAGGAGAAGACAACAGAAGCCAGGCTATGAGCCAGCAGGTCCCAGGCTGCAGCCTGGAAGGGACCTAAGGCACTTAGAATCACAGCTTGGTCCTAGAAGCCCTGGAACTTCTATGGAAGGTGTGAAAGAACATAAATAAAGCCACCTCACCCATGAGTTTAAATGGCATTGCTTAAAAGTTTTGAGACTAGGGGGCAAGCCTTGGACAGGATTGATCCTTGCAAAATTGGGACTTTGGGGAATGGATGGGCAGAGGCTCTGGGTGACAGGTACACATTTTGAGCAGTCTGATTGGAGTCAGATCAGTGCAATTTCAGGACTGACAGTGCACAATGAGGTAAAACAGTTTGAGTAACAGGAAAAGATGGACATTAACACCTGCCAATATGCCTTGGGGCTAGTGGTGCTTGCTTGCTTAGGAGAGAGAGGAAAAAGGATTGGTTGCCTAGGTAGAGGCCAGTTTGGGCTGCATAAAATGATTTGTCTCCAATGTCAAAAAAAAAAAATACTAGCCATTGTCACCAGACAGGGGTAGACTCAGGGAGGCCTGTAGAAAGGATTGCTTTAGCTGGGGATTGAGGCAAACCTGAAGAATATTGGACAAAATTAGACAAGCCCTGGTCAAAACCAAAATAAAGCAAAACATCAACAGAAAATAAAAGAAAAAAAGTAAAAGAAGAAAAATCACAAACCAGTCAAGTGGCACCCTCCTATAATCTTAGGCTGAGGAAGGAGGATCACAAGTTTGAGTTAATTTTTTTAAACATAACTTGATTAAATTTTTAAGGTTTCATAACATAAGTAATTTTGATTAGTTTAAAGCCACCAAAGAAATGGACTTTGCATATCTCAGAAGCTGATAGATTTAAATTCAAGTCCTGACAGTTTACCTAAGGACTCAGCTTCTAAGGGTAAGACACTTTGCATTTAAATCTTTATCTGTTGCTAACTTCTTGGGCAAAATGGTTCAGTTTCAGCATCCTCAATTCTGTCTACCAGAAAAACCTTAGTAAAACTCACCAGCTAGTACTGTAATAGGGAAAAAATGGTTCAATGTACAGTTTTCCCTCATGGTGGAATTTTGGGAAATGACATACAGACCTTCAGGCTCCATTGCAAGTGTTCAGTCATCCTCTGTACTCCAAGGAGAGTCTTAAAGAGGTACATTAGGTGCTGGACTCCACACTCCAAAGGGCCTGGCAAAACAAAGGATGCCACCAGTGGTAATCAAGCTCTCAATGGGGCTCAAATGACAAACCACAATGGTGACCTGACCAACTATGGAGATCACAAGCCAGCCAAAAGTGATGTCCATCTCTGTGAGAGTCAGATAGCAAACTCAATTGGTGATGAGCTCTCTGTTGGAGTCAGATGACAACCACCATCTTTGAACAATCACTTTATGGGAAGAAGATGCACCATCCAATTGTGAAACAACTCTTTACTGTGGTCAAATGACAAGCTCTATAGGTCAGAATGTCTGTAGAGGTCAGATGACAGCACCCAGTGTGAAGAAAGCCAAAATCTTCTGGTGAGTTCCTTTAGTAATTAGACCCGATGTGGAATGGAATCTTTTACACTCCAAGTTCCTTTTTGGCCACAGGACAACCCCCAGAAAGCTTTTCAGTGTCCTCTTTACTCCAGGGACAGCTTCCACAGGAGAAGTCAGACCTCAAGTCCCAGAGCCATGGATTGCAGAAGAAGCCTCAGAGTTTGATGCTCTACTTTTGCACATAGCAGGCTGGTGAGAAATCCTACACAAATCTTAGCACCTCAGAGCCCATATGAAGAAACACACTGAAGAGAAGTCCTGTGTGTGCAACACAACTGGCTGCACATGGAAGTTCTCCCCATCAGGTGAGCTCACAGACACAGAGAGAAGCACAGTGGAGAATGGCCCCTCCTACATGCAAGTGTGACAAAACCTTTGCAGGAGCAGATCACTGCAAGGTGATCTGAGAGTCCAAGAACAAGATTGAACCAACAGTGAACCCGACTGTCCACAAGGAACATCTTCCCTACTAACATGAATTCTTCCTACCCAGAAATGTGTCAGCTTATAGTAAATGCATAAAGCTGTTTGTGAATGTAACAAACTAAATAGTGATTATGCAACATTTACCATAATAGCTTAGGATGGATTATTTTGCATTTTGCAAAGGTGATCCTTTTGTTTTCCAAGAACTCACAGATATCCTCCTGTCTCTGATTCCTGAGTGCTAAGATTAAAGGTGTGTTCCACAACATTAAGGTGCATCCATTAATATGCCTTTTGTTTAAGATAGTGTGAAGACACTGATATTAATGACATTTGCATATTGCATATTAAATTGTACCAAATAACAGCAGCAATACAAATAACAGCAGCAATACAAATAAAATAATAGGCCGGATTCTTCTTCCCTCTGTTTTGCATTTAAATTCTGCCATTCTTTTTAGTGTATGATAATAACTGGTTGCTCTGTCAGTCAAATTCCAATGACTCAATGAAACAGTTCTATTTACTACAGTTTGTTTGTAGTTTAGAAATAAGCAGAAGTAAACCGACTTCAATAAGCTGTTTGTGGAGGTATGTGGTCACATGACTAGCAAAGGAAAAGGTGCAACTAACTCAATCAACAGCATGCTTATTCTTTGCATTCTCTCATTAAGATAATTTTGTGAGGTCACTTTGGTCCTGTGTGACTTATTTTATTCATTTATATATATTAAAAATCGGATTTACATTTTTCTCCTCAAATTCTTGACTATGATATTTTTGCATGTTTTCTTCTATTAACATTTGCATATGCATGTGTTCTGCATGCTCCTGTATGGTTTATTCTATGAAATCTACATATGCCTCTGGTACAGACATATAGGTATGTGGAGGCGGGGCTCAGTCCCTGTGTGAAGCAAATTGGTTAGTGTGTCTACAGACATTTCTTTTTCCTAGTAGGTGGACAGTTTGTTTGAGATTTTTCAGTTGGGATGTGGAATGCTCTTGGTACTATATATATTCTGTGATCTCATGTGGGGAAGGCTTCGATGGTGGAAGGGACAAATTTATTAAGTTAGAAGGAAAAAATAGACTTGGTGTCCAGGAGAACAAAGAAGAAGGGGTGGAGAGAATGGGGATCTAGGGTTGATTGTAAAGTGTAAGTGAAGCAAAATGTGCCAATAAACCCTGTAGATGAATTTCTAAATGGTCTTATTAAATAAAAAAACGCAGAGCCAAATATAGGGGTGAAAGCCTTAGAAAGATCAGGGAAATAGGGAAAGCTACCAGTCAACCTTACCTCACCAATTCTGCATCTTCCAAATGCGATTTATTTCCTTTCTATCCATGTCTATATGTCTTGCTATTCTGCCATCTGATTTGCTCTCTCCGTTCAGCTACATCACTTCCTCTTTCTACCCAGCTCTGTCAATTCCTGTCTGTCTGTACAGACCTCCAGACCTCCATGGTTAACTAGTTTTGGAATTTAAGGCATGTGCCACCACACCTGGCTCTGTTTCCAGTGTGGCCTTGAACACATAGAGATCCTGCTTGCCAAGTGATAGGATTAAGGGTATGTGATACTGCTGGCAGACTTCTTTGTTTACTTATAATGGCTGGCCTTTTTCCTTTGATCTCCAGGCAAGCTTTATTTATTAAAGCACAAATAAAATATCACCATGAAACCCTGTGAAAATAGCCCCAGAGTGCTGACTATTCTACTTTCTGCTTAGTTAATAATGTTTAAATTATGTCTCAACTGTGGGTAAGGAGTGTATAGATTCTAGGTAAAAACGTTCTACAGATTCACATTTCCATAGGAAAAATTTACATTAAATGTTGATAAGAAAATTAATAGGAACAAAGCAAAAACAAACAAACAAACAAACTAAAACAGTTGCCATGGAAACAGATAACCAGAGCTTTGTATCATAGAAACTTCTTCATAGAACTGAATAACAAAAACTACTCCAACATGTTCATGTTTTAACTTTCCTGTTTCTAAGACGTTAAAATATATTTTTGGAGAACAGGGAAAGTTGTATTCATGGGAATTTAGGGGTTATTCTTTACTCTTGACTCTATAAATATACTTAATGACCAAAAAATCAATTTCAAATATGCTGTAGGTGTGAAAATTCCAAGATGAAGTTCAATTCATACGTGCTTATTTTTCCCCCAAAGGGAGATTGGAATACAGTAACCCAAAGCCCATAAATTTCTCATAATTATTTTCTAACTCTGTCTAGACAGCAGGGTTATTAAGAGGAAGCCATGAAGTATGCCTACACAACATCTCAGGCACTTAGCTTAACAGCTTGGACCTGAGAGCCTGTGAACTCCCATGAATAGAGGAAGAGGGCCATACAGGGCTAGGTCACCTAAGGGCTATCACAGTGTCAGTTCCCCAGAGGAAAGGGTGAGAATGATGTTGGTATAAACATATAGGAACCAGTGGACAAACATGTGTCATTGAACAATGCAGATATTTTATAACACCAGGCTCTGTGGTGGTGATGAACAGACAATGTGAGCACCTGGCATAACTTGGAACTGTCTAATGACACACATGTGATTTCAAGAGTGTTAGTTCTTAATGGGGTCAAGCAGTCTTGGAGGAGGGAAAATAAGACATCAAAAACTGCCATTATGGGATGGGAGTAGTCATTTATGGCTGCAATACCATAGGCAATCAAGAAGCAGAGGCAGAGGGACTGGAGTGTGAGTTAAATATGATGAAAAACACCAGCTATTCTCCAGACCAGCACCTTAACCGTAGAGCCACTGTGACTCCCAACACATGCCATTCTCACCAACAATGATAGTATTTCTAAAAGAAAGGAGGCATAAGGGCAAAAATTGACTTGAGCTCAGCAGTTGTGTGCAACCTGCTCAACACATGAGATTCAGTGTATAAACAAAATTTTAAAATAAAAATGCAAACAAAACAAAATAAAACACCAGGCTCAATAAATCTTACTTATAACCCTAGGCTTAGGCAGGAGGTTCCAGAATTGAAGGTGAGCCTGACATAAAGAGGGAGACCATGTACTAAAAAAACAGATCAACCACCAATAACAAACCTCTGTTTTCAATGCTAATGTGATCATGTGAATGCTCAGTTTTTCACACTATCAGTAATTTGGTTAAAAGTGCAGCTGTCAAGATCATGGAATCTGCATATCTCAAAACTGTTCAGTTAAACTAGAATCTCAGGTGTTCTGGGTTTACCTCAGATCTCAGAGAGCAAAGCCCTTAGGGATAAAGTCTGCACCTGTAGCAATCTCTGCAGGGGCAGCTGTCTGCAGTTTCTGCATCATCAACTCTCACATGCAGGTCAAGCACAGGAAACCCTGCACTGAGGCTGGGGTATGGATGTAAAGTGCAATGTTGAGTTTCACCTCACAGTGGCTTTTCAGGAAATCACAGCATGGAAGTCCTGAGTCTTTGGCTAGGTGACTCAAACACCCTCTGCTTTCCAAATGATTGTGGGAGGAGCTTAAGTAAATAATCCAGATGCTAGGCTTCCCCCTCAAAGGAAGATTAAATAAAACTTGTCAAGGAAGGGGAATCTTCATGGCCCATCAACCTATGAAACATAGAAATTCATATCCTGGGTGTTTACACAGGGACTCATTTCCTGAGAACAAAATTGGCTTAAAGCCTGGTTGTATAGCTAGTTCCTTTGGCCCAACTGTGTTCTCATTCTACAACTTCAACTTTCAAGGAAGATCAAAGTAAAACCAGGTAACTCGTTACTACTGTGATATGGAAGGGAAGATCCAAAGTGCAACTTCCTCTTGTTGGACTTAATGACTTCAAGGAATTCCTGGGTCCTTTCCTGGGTCATTCAATCACCTGCATTGTAAAATCTTGGGAGAAGGAGCTTAATCAAATCTTCTGGATTTGAGCTTCAAAGCATAGGGCGTGGCCAACCAAGGCCTGGACTCTGTAGCCCTGCCCACTTCCTACTGAGTTTTCTATAAGACTCCAGACTCTAGAGCTGGGTACCTTTCTCCCAGGCCACCTTCACCACAGCCTAGGCAGATCTGAAGCCCTGGCCTCTAGCTCACATTCTAGAGCTTCTTGGGTCTACCACCTAGCCTCTGTCTGTCTTCATATTGGACTACTCTTAAGGACTTAGGCTCTCAGAACTGAAAAACCTAGTTCAGTACCATATTCTCCTAACCCTGAATAATTGAGGAACCTGAGGAACCCTAGGAGGTCATCTCAGACCCATGTAAGGACCCAGGGAGAAACTCCAGGTGATTATCAGCCAGGGCAATGCACTCCTCCGACTACCCCTGTGGAGACAAGCCAGCTTGTGTCAGCTCAGAGACAAGTATTATCTATTAGGAATCAAACTTTGACGACATCTGGATCTTGTAGCACCTCTAGGAGAGCCTTCACCCAGAACTCAAGGCCATACTTCAGAAAAGACATGGATTTCCAATTTGGAGAGCCAAGTGAGACCACTTCTTTGTACCAGCAAGTTGCATCTGCTGACCAGAACAAATCCCCAGCTGACTCACAGCTGATGGACCTCAACACCCAGGAGACCTCCCTCTCTGATTCCCAGGCGAGAGCATTCCCTGACAGCAAGGAGATAGTCTACAAAGAAGGTAGTGAGGTGACGACCCTGAGGGGGAATGAGAGTCTTGTGAGCCACAGTGCTGCCTTGTGTGGAAGACAGAGAATCAGCCCTGGTGAAAATCAAGATTCTTCCTCTGGAGGGCAGCTGGAATCTCTTGAAGGGGGTCATGTGAGGTCCTTCAGTTGTGATCAGACTTGCGATGAGGACCATCTAATTCCTTCTGTATTTGACCAGACCATCAAGGGGAAGTATCAAGAGATACCTGTCATCGGGGACCAGACCTTTGCCTGCAGTCAGGTGGCAACCAGAATGGGTGAGCAGTTTCCCAGTGAGGGTCAGATGACAGCTCCCATTTATAGCCTGGCCCCCCATCCCAGTCGGCTGATAACCCCCTCTTCTGCTCACTCTCTTTGTGGAGATAAGAAGATGATTCTAAGTCGTGACATGACCTTATTTCAGGATCACTTGGTAGCCATTAAAGGATATCAGGCCTTCTATAGCCATCCAATGAGAGACCCCATTAGTGCCCAGATAAACCACTATGGCCAGCTGGTATCCTTGCATGGCCAGAATGTCCCTACAGTTCAGGGGACAGTACCCAGAGTTAAAGAAGGCCTCCATCCTCAGGTGATTTCCTTTAGTGGAGGGGATTCCTCACTTCATTCAGGTGTTCCTTTGGCCTCAAGACAACCTCCAGAAAGTGTGTCAGTTTCTGCTTCTGTCCAGGGAGAGCTTCCCCAAGACAATTCATACTTCAAGACCAAGAACCATGATTCCCAGAAAAAGACTCACAATGTGAAGCCCTATTTCTGTGCATATGGTTATTGTGAGCAATCTTTCTCAAAGCCTTCTCTCCTCAGAAACCATATGAGAACACACACTGAGGAGATGCCCTATGCCTGTAATTACCCGAGATTCAATTGGGAATTCACCGATTTAGATATACTAATCAGACACAGGAGACAGCGCACTGGGGTGGACCCCTACTTGTGCATGTACTGCAACAGAAGTTTTACTAGATTGGACAACCTAAAGAAACATTGGAGATCGCACTTTTAAGCTTCATCCTGACTGGAAACTGGCCAAAAACAATACCTTTCCTAATAAAATTCCCTCATATTTCTTCTTAACAGCAATTTTGAGAACCCCCATTAGATGCTATTGTTTATAAAAGCTAAACTAATAAAAGTTATAAATATGAAGCATTTAATATATGAGCTAAGAATCAATTATTTTGCATATGTGAATCTTTTAAATTACCGTTTAGGAAATTTTTATTTGGGTTATTATTAGAATGCATATTAACTACAATAGTACTAATATGTTTGTGATACTACGGTGAAACAGGCTCAATATTTCTCCAAACACCTTTTTGGGAGTTTAATTTTGTCAGCCATTTGAGGTTGGAATACTACTTGCTTGTCCTGGCAGTAGACTTCCTATGAGCAGGGGATCATTGTATTTGTGCAGTGTGTCTGTGGTTGAAAACCAGGGAGCAGAACCCCTGCTTCCAGAGGTTGTTTCTGAGGGGGAAGCTCACATGATGAGCAAAAGCAGGCACCACTGACTGCAGAAACAGCTCTTTCTTGTTCTTCCCATCAGTCATTTCAGGTGAACTTTCTTCTCATGGAACCATTTTCATACACTTGTAACAGGTAAAAGTTACATGTACTTTGTGTTATTTCCACCACCTCAGCTTGATTCTTTCTAAATGCCTTTTTATATTTACACTGAAGTGTGAGTTTCTATGTGAGTGTGTGCATGTATTAGTTTATTCAGTGAATCTCCACATTTCCCACCTAACGGGATCCTTTCACATTTCTGCACTATGTCCACAGCCAAAATTACCAGATGAAACAATGTGTCTCATCTTAGAAGTTTGTAATTTTTTCCCTTGTAGCTTTCAGTAATTTGATTGTTGTGTATGGAGCAGGACAGGAGTATGAAGTCTCTGCCTATGCCTAATCATGTCCAGGACAGTTAGGTTCAAGGTTTTTTGTTTGTTTTGTGTTTTGCTTTGTTTTGTTTTGAGACAAGGTTTCTCTGTGTAGTTTTGGTGCCTGTCCTGGATCTCGCTCTGTAGACCAGGCTGACCTTGAACTCACAAAGATTCGCCTGGCTCTACTGGGATTGAAGGCTTGTGCCACCACCGCCCAGCTAGGTTCCAGATTTGGTGAGGGGCTTAGTCACTAAACCAGAACAGTAAAAGGTCCACAGATATTTTTCTCTTTCTGGAAGACAGGTCTGTTTGGATTTTTAGAGAGTATACACCAGTACTCTTGCTACTATATACAATTTTAGATATAAGAGGGTAGGTTTTGTGCGTCCAAGAGACAAGTCTGAAAACAGCTAGTTAAAGGGATGGATTTTTGATCATGGGAACAGTGAAGGGAGAAGTAAGGAGGATGACACACTCCATTGGAAGGGAGCCCCAGAGTGTGGCCAGTCTAAGATCATTTGAGCAGGAGAGTCTAAAACTTGGCCTTACTGCCAAAAAAAGGTGAACAGACACAAATTGCAGTAGAAGCAATTCATAAAATCTCAACTATTAAATTAATTAGGAGTTAGTAAATAGAGATTGTTGCCATGTGTACACAGGCATTCAGAGCACACATCTGGTAGGTATCTTCAGAAATCCATATACAATACACTGTGTTGTAATTTCCTTTTACTGTTCATAAATAGTTAAAATACTTTTTTTGAGACTGGGGTAAGTTGCAGTCATAGGACTCAGAGTTGATTCCTTACTCTTGATTCTATAAAAATATTTAATGTTCACAAGATCCATCAAAACCAAGTAAAGGTGTCAAAAGTTCATGACAAAGACATTTGAGACAAGTCAAATGTTTTGTATATTTAAAGAAAATTCAGAATACAGAAATCTGAAGTCCACCACAAATTCAAGGTCATCATCTGAGTCCATGTGGCTGTATCCCTAGAGATTGAAGAAAGTGCCAGGCGATGTGACTCCACCCCATCACAGGCACTTAATTAACCTGGTCCTGAGATCCCTGAAACCCCATAGAAGCAGGGAATGGGGTGCTCAATGCCAGTTCACAAAGGGCTACCACAGTGTCTGTGTACCAGAGGAAAGGGTTGAAGTGGTGTTAGTGAAAACACACAGAAAGCAATGATCACCCAGGTGTCTTTAAACAGTACAGGACATTGTAAAGCTCGGCACTATGGCCTTGTCTTTTAGAACTGGTCCTGGTAGTTTTGATGGGCACAGACTGTGGGCACCTGGCATAGACTAGGAGATGCCCTTCTTGTGTCACCGGTCACATATATAAATCAAAGAGACTCAGTCCTGATGTGGTCAAGCAGGTTTAGGAAAGGTACCTGGGTTTCAAAACAATGCTACCATTTGCTCAGAGTCATGGTAGATGGCTGCAATACCGTGGGCAATCAGGAAGCAGGGGTAGAAAGACTGGAATGCAGTTGGGTCACAGAGGGTGACTGCCTCAAAACTCCAAACATTCTCAATTAGAATGAAAGTATCCCTAGGCACAAAGGAGCCTGAGCAGGAGGATTGCTTGAGTCCAGGAGTTTTTTTTTCTTTTCGAGACAGGGTTTCTCTGTGTAGCTTTGCATCTTTCCTGGATCTCTCTCTGTAGACCAGGCTGGCCTTGAACTCACAAAGATCCGCCTGCCTCTGCCTCCTGAGTGCTGGGATTAAAGGCATGCGCCACCACTGCCCAGCGAGTCCAGGAGTTTTTTTCCAACCTGGGGAACCTAACAAGGTCATTTGTCCAAACATAATAAAACAAAAAGGGAAATGATTTAATTAATTAAACCTAGGACCTAGTGGCTCTCCACTGTAATCCTAGGTTAAAGCAGGAGCATCCAAAATTTGCTTTAAGCCTGGCCTAAAGAAGGAGTCCCTGTATCAAAACAACAAAAAAAAATCAATCAGCAAAAGAAAAATTCTATTATCAATGCTAAAGTGACCCAAAAGAATTCTAAATATTTCATACCAGGAGTAATTTTGATGAAACTACAGCTACCAAGGGGCTGGGGTTTGTATGGCCCAGGAGCTAATTAGATCTGAAATCACATCCTGAGTGTTTACCCTGGGATTCAACTCTTGAGGGAAAAATTGTCTGGTTTAATATCTCGATCTGTAGCTAATTCATTTGGCCCACTGATGTTCTGTGTCCCTACCTCACCAAAGAAGAGAATAGTAAATCACCACAGCTACAGTGATGGTATGGATTGATTGATTCAAAGTGCAGTTTCCTGTTGCAGGGACTTACAGAAATGACTTCAAGGAAACCTGGCTCCTTGCCAGGTGATTCAGTCACCCATTTAATTCTAAGTTCCTGGAGAAGCTTAATTAGGGACTCTAGCTATGAAGATCCAACCATACAAAAGTCATGACCTACTGAAGGCTGAACTCTGAAGCCCTACCCTCTTCCCAACCAAGATTTTTAAAAATGGACTCCAGACACCAACTGAGTGGGTTTCTACCAGTCAATCTTCCTCTTGGCCCCTGAAGGTCTGACACCCTGGCCTCCAGCTCACCTTCTCACTGCCTTCTGGCATCCACCTATCCTTTGTCTGTCTCCTATATATGACTACATTTGAGGAACTAAAACTCTCACAGCTGAGAACTTAGGTGAGCAAGAAGATATTCTCCTTCTACAGCACAATTGGGGTAACTAACTGAAGAGTGTCTCCATGGCTTCTCTGGGTCATGTGAGTACCACAGAGAAAGCCCACCTGAGTAAGATCCACAGCCATGCACTCCTCTCATTGCCCATGTGGGAACCAGCCAGTTCATGTCTGCTCAGAGCCATGTAAAACCTATGAGGAATCAAAGAGTGATGACATTTGGATATTGTAGCACCCATGGCTCATCGTTTACTGAAAACACAAGATCACAAACCAGAAGATTCATCAATTTCCAATTGGAGAGCCAATTGAGACTGTTGTATTGAACCAGCAAGTTGTATCTGCTATCAGACTAAATCCAAACAAGCTCTCAGCTGACAGAGCTCAATCACACCCCTGAGAACTCCCCCACTGATTCCCAGAAGACAGCCATCTCCAACAGCAAGGAGACAGTCAACAGCGAAGTCAGGCAGTGCTTGTTGAAAAGAATCATGTGATCCACAGTAATCCATATATGGAAGTAAGAGGATCAGTGAGTGAAAATCACATTGCTGACTATGGAGGGCAGTTTGTAACTCTTGAAGGGGCTCATGTGATGCCCTCTAGTGGTAAACAGTACCCATCTAAGAACCATCTAATTACTTCTGTGTATGACTAACTAGAGCTTCAACTCAAACTAAAAACAAACAGAAAGGGTAAGCAGAATCCTTGAGTTCAGATGACAATTCCCTGTAGTATGAGGCTCAGATGACAAACCATGTGGTGACCTGACCCACTATAGAGATCACAAGACAGCCAAAAGTGGTGTCCATCTCTGTGAGAGTCAGATAACAACCTCAGTTGGTGATGAGACTCTCTGTTGGAGTCAGATGACAACCACCATCTTTGAACAATCACTTTATGGGAAGAAGATGCACCATCCAATTGTGAAACAACTCTTTACTGTGGTCAAATGACAAGCTCTATAGGTCAGAATGTCTGTAGAGGTCAGATGACAGCACCCAGTGTGAAGAAAGCCAAAATCTTCTGGTGAGTTCCTTTAGTAATTAGACCCGATGTGGAATGGAATCTTTTACACTCCAAGTTCCTTTTTGGCCACAGGACAACCCCCAGAAAGCTTTTCAGTGTCCTCTTTACTCCAGGGACAGCTTCCACAGGAGAAGTCAGACCTCAAGTCCCAGAGCCATGGATTGCAGAAGAAGCCTCAGAGTTTGATGCTCTACTTTTGCACATAGCAGGCTGGTGAGAAATCCTACACAAATCTTAGCACCTCAGAGCCCATATGAAGAAACACACTGAAGAGAAGTCCTGTGTGTGCAACACAACTGGCTGCACATGGAAGTTCTCCCCATCAGGTGAGCTCACAGACACAGAGAGAAGCACAGTGGAGAATGGCCCCTCCTACATGCAAGTGTGACAAAACCTTTGCAGGAGCAGATCACTGCAAG